CAGCCTGCGCCTCTCCGCTGCGGCCCTGCCAGCCCACAGCCCCAGGCAGCGGCCGGTCCCCGCCGCCGTCTCAGCGCCAGCTCGGCGCCACCTCGCCGCCAGCTCAGCGCCAGCCCAGCGGGGCGACTCACTGCGCCGCGATGCGTGCCGCTTCCTTCTCCGCCGCCCTCCGCTCCTTCTTGCCCCGCTCCTTCCTGCCCCGCTCGCTCTGCATCGCCCGCATCTCCGCCAGCCGCTTGCGGTGGTGGTGGTCGTATGAGGACAGGTGCTCCTCCATCTCGTGGGCAAATTGGTACTGCTTGTGGCACCACTGCGGGACAAGGCGGGACGAGGCGGGACGAGGCGGGACGAGGAGGGGTGGGGCTGTTGTTGGAAGTCTCGCGGGCGGACTGGCGGGTGGCTCATGGCTCCCAAAACACTGGCAGCAGCGGGGGGTCTGAGGGATGGGCGGGCGCGAGGTGAGGGGCGGGCGCAGCAGGGGCCGCGGCGTGTGTGCGCTGGCCTGGGGCCAGCTGGCGCCAGCTGGCGTCCCCCACCTTGCAGTAAAACATGCGCAGCTCGTGTGTCACCTCCTCCCGAATCTTCTGCTGCCGCTCAGCCTCCATCTGCGGCGCAGGCGGCGGCGCGGCGGTCGGCGGCGGCGGCCGGTGGGCGGCGGCCGCGGCAGACGGGGGCGGCCACGGCGGCAGGCTCCCCGGCGGCGGCGCCTGCTGCCCAGCGCGGCGGCGGGAGCCCGGCCCCGCGGCCGTCACGTGTACGCTGCCGCACCTCCCGCCTGCGCTTTCTTCCCTCGTCCTCGTCAGCCTGCAGCTCCACCTCCAGCGCCCGCCGCTCCACAAACTCCGCCGCCGTGTACTGCCGCTCCTGCTGGCGCCGCCCCAGCCCCGTGCGCGTGCCGGTATCGTTGGCATCCAGACGCACGGGCTCGCTGATGCCTGCGGGAGGGCGCCGGGCGGGTGGGCAGGAGCGCTGTGCACTTGTGTTTGGTGGGAGCGGCTTGGTTGGGGCAGAGCGATGGGAGCGGCGCCGGCCCGCAGCATCGCGCGATGCGCGAGCGTCCCGCCGGCCCGCCGCCGCCCGCAGCCGCGCACGGCGCGCAGCCGGGCCCGGCGCACGGCTGCGTGCAACGCGCGCGCGGCTGCGCCGCCTCACCCTGCTGCTCGCGGCCCAGGCCGCCGCCGGGGCGCCAGCCCATGCGCTGCAGCAGGCGGTAGCCGACGTTGGAGGCGGGGATGGCCTGCTCGATGCTGGCACACTCTGTGTCCTCCAAATCCACGTTCTCGTCGATCCAGCGGGCCATGGGCAGCCTGGCAGGCAGCACAACAGGGCGGGGCCAAGGGTATTCGGCATGCGGGCGGCGGCGGCGGGAGACAGGGAGGCGGGGCGTACGGGCGGCTGGGCCCAACCCCAGGCGCACCGCAGCCGGTCTGCCAGGTGCAGGCCCCACTCTGGCGGTGGGGTAGGGCCCGGGCTGGATGGGAGGCAGGGGGCAAGCGCACACGCACTTAAAGTCGGAGCCGTCGGCGGCGGCAAGCTCGATCATTTCGTCCTGCCGCTGCCGCAGCGTTGACACGCGGAACTCATCCCCTCTGCCCGCAGCGAACCGAGGGTCCACCACCTCCAGCCGCTCCATACTCGCTGCTGCCTCTGCTGCAACTCGCCGGTCAGGGCATTCGGCTGGGCTGAAGGGCCGCTCAAATGCGATGTGTGTGCTTCATGGAGGACGCAGGATTGGTTGGGAGGGCGTGAAGCGGTGAGAAGACGGCCACAAACCCCATGCAGGCCGGCCGCGCTAGAAAGACCATCCCGCTGGCGCCCCATTTGCCGCGCATTGGCCTGCACAAGTCCCTCTCCTGCGTCATACAGTCGCTGCACCTGTCGCCGCGGGCTCCGCCTGGCAAAACTAGCAGCCATGCAGTCCCTCGCAGCTCGGAGCACGCCGGTGCTGGGCAGCAGGCAGTGCAGTGTTCGCAGCAGCCAACGAGGCCTCAAGGTGGGGACACGGCAGCGGCGGCTGGCTGGGTAACACCCCATGCCACGGCTCGCGCTTGTGGCCGCTCGCACCGCTCTGCGGGCCGCTGATGGCCACCGGAAATGTTATGGCCCGCAAATGCAGCACAATGCGTGCTGCCGACCGGCCAGGAGAGCTGCTTAGGGGCGCGCCCGCCGCGCTCGCCGCGAGAAACCTCTCGACACCCTTGCCTTGCTGTGTTGCGCCCCTGCTGCCGCCAGGTGGTGGCCATGGCCAAGAAGGGCATCCACCCCAAGTGGCACAACGAGGCCAAGGTCATGTGCAATGGCGAGGAGGTGCTGACCACCAGCGGCACCCAGGGCAGCTACACCGGTGCGGCCTGCCGCTCCGCCCGCGCGCCTGCCTCGCTTCTGCGCCTCGCTCCACCGCCTGCGGCATCGCGCAGCATCTGGCAGCGCCAGAGTGCACGGGGGTGTGGAGCGCACGCACGCGGGCGCCGTCGCAGCGGCACTGCATGCACAGGGGCGCTGGCTGGCTGGCTGGCTGGCGGCGGCGCCGACGGTCTGTGGCTTGCCGGTCCCGCCCTGCGTGCAGTGGACATCTGGAGCGGCAACCATCCTTTCTTCCAGGGCGCCACCTCCACCGTGGTCACCGATGAGGGCCGCGTGAACCGGTGCGTGAGCGGTGGCAGCTGGTCACCCTGGTCACCGCTGCTGGCACGAGCAGCCAGCGGCCCTCTGCCTCTCTTACTTTCTCGTGCTGCGTGCGCGTGCCCCGCTTTGGGCGCCTGCCTGTGGCTGTCGCACGTGGCCCTGAGGTCCCGCCGTGCCCATCCCTGTCCCCGCAGGTTCAAGCGGCGGTTTGCTGGCCTGGACAGCTTGGCTGCGATCGAGACCATCAGCGGCCAGAAGGCCGCGGCGGTTGCTGCCGCTGCTGCCGCCAAGAAGTGAGCAGGCAGAGCGGCCTCCTCCCTGCCCGCCAGCGCGCGGCAGGCGAGGCCCAGCCGCACAGCAGCTGCGCGCCCCGCCGGGGCGCAGCGCCTGATTTTGCCGCATTTCGTTTACAGTGGTTAGCAACGGATGTAAGTTCAGCAGTTGCGAGCACCCATGCACCGTGGTCAGTTGGGGTCAGTGAGGTGTGCGTGTGCACCTAGTTCGCAAGGAGGGTCGCCCAGAGAGACAGGCTGGGGCGAAAACAACTCTGGCGGTGGGTGCTGCCGCGGCCAGCGCTCCTGGCGCCCTGTGCGCAGCCCAGCGCCGCATGCCTTGGCCGCTGGCGCGGTGTGGCCGCCTCCCCGGCTGCCGGCCCCTCCCCTGCCGCGCCCCCGCGCGGTCAGCCGCGCGCGCTGCGCTGCTGGTGGCGCGTGAAGGCGCCGCGCAGCTTGGAGGGGCTGTTGCGCCCGCTGACGGGCGTCTCGCCGTCCACCCGCTGCCGCTTGCCCAGGGCGGAGGGCGACACCACGCGCTTGCCCGACCTTATGGAAGGCAGGGAGGTTGTGTCCAGGGGCGGCACCAGCGGGGCAGCAGCCTCGGCAGCCACGTTTCCTGCACCCAGCCCCGGCACAACGAGCAGCAGGTTCACACCCTTGAAGGGCGGCAGGCAGGCAGGTGTTGCAGGCCACTGCACGGCTCCGCGCCGAGCGCAGCAGCGGGACGCACCCGCGTCGGCGTTCTCCTGCTGCTGAGGCGCCTCTGCCTCTGCCGCCTCCTCTGCCGCCGCCTCCTCCCCGCCTGCCGCCGCCATCTCCTCGCCCGCCTCCTCTGCGCCCCCCTCGGTGGCATCTGCAAGCCGCAAGCAGACGGACAGCAGCGCCGATCGGGTGGCTTTGTTGGTGCTTGTGGGCGGGCAGCCCCAGCCAGCAGCCAGGACCACGCAGCACCATGCACCGCCGTGCGCACGCCGTCGCAGCGGCCTGCATCCATTCCCGCCCAGCCCACCTGCAGCCGGCCCCGCCAGCTGCGCCCTGAACTCTGCATAGACGGCTTCCACCGCCGGCGCCCGCAGCGCATCAATCTGGCCCCGCGCCGGAACCTCGTGCTCCCGCTGCGCCGGCACCTTGTCTGCAGCGGCAGCGGCGGCACACACACGCCCCTCAGCCGTTGTTTGTGTAAACGCCCTGCTGCCGTGCCCTGTGCTGCGGCAGCAGCTCACAGCAGCCAGCCCAGCCAGGCCGCATGTGCTGTGCACGGCAGGATGGCCGCTGACAGACAGAACCAGCCCAGCAGCAGCCTGCGCTGCCAGCAGCAGCGTACCTCGGTTGCCGTCGGTACGGTACTGCTCATCCACCTGTTCCTGTACCAGCCCCGACAGCCCGGTCAGCGCCGCCCGCTGCTCGCTGGCAAAGGCCGCCAGCGCGGCGCCGCCAGCCTCCTGCAGGGCTCCCAGGCCGCTCCCGGCAGCGGTGTCTGCTGCCAGCCCACCCTCTGCCGCCTCCTGCATCGCCGCACGCGCGCCGCCTGCCGCCTGCACTGCGCTGCCGCACTTTGCTGTCTCGCTGGCGGCAAGCGCCGCCACCGCCGCAGTCTGGCTGGCCACCGCCGCCGCCACCGCGGCGCTGTGCTCCTCCAGCCGGCCCGCCGCAGCGGCGGCCGCCGCAGCGGCAGCGGCAGCCAGCTGGTCACCACGCTGACTGGCGGCCTGCAGCGCGCCGCCCAGCCTGGCACCGCCATCCTGCAGCGCCGCCTGTGCCGCGGCATACGCCGCGCCCGCCGCGCCGTGGTTGGCGGCCAGAGCAGCGAGGGAGGTGTCGGTACCAGCCTCCATGGCTGCCAGGGCGCCCTCCAGGCTGGCCTGGTCCCCCGCAATCTGGCCCCGCAGGCCGCAGGCCGCACTCTTCACCTCAGCCTCCGCCTTGGCCACAAAGCTGCACCAGGGGTGGACAGTGAGTGAGGGCGGTGCCGGACGATGAGCCAACACACTTGTTACTATGGCTCACTGGCAACGCATGTGCTGGATGCTGCGAGGCGTGCTGCTGCTGCTGCATGCCCACACCCACCCGCCACCACCAGCTCTGCTGCAGCCCGCCCACCTGGCCAGCATGGCTCCAATCTGCTCCACCAGCGCTGCCTGCTCCGCCTGCGTCTTGGCCAGGAAGGACGACTCAAAGGCGTCCACGGCCTGGGCAGCAGAGCCCAGACGCTGGGCCACCTCCCCACGAGCCGCGGCCGCCGCGCCCTTGGCCTCGCCCAGCTGCTCCCGCGCAGCCGACACCAGGGCTTGGGTGGCGGCAAACACCGCCTCGCCCGCGGCCCGCTGCTCCCCGAGGAAGCAGCCCAGCTGTTGCTGCTCCGCGGCCTGGCTCGTGCACAGCGCAGACTGGGCCGCGCTCAACTGCTCCGCGGCCGAGGCAGCCGCTGCCTGCGCCTCCCGCAAAAAGGCGCCGTGCTGCCCGGCCAGGCCCGCCAGCCCCGCCGCCGCCGCCGCCTCCACCGCGGCTGCACCGTCCGCAGCAGCCACTCCAATGCCGTCCAGCTGCGCCTGCAGGCCAGCCATGTCGGCCTGCAGGCGGGCCGCCTCGGCGGCCTTGCGCTCCGCAAAGCCGGCCAGCAGCTGGCGGGCGGCGTCAAAGCGCTCGGCCTGCGCCGCCGCGGTGCCGGCCACCGCCGCCTCCATGGCTGACAGCCGCTGCGTGGCAACATCCCGCAGCTCCTGCACCAAAGCGAACCAGCCGACAGGCACACATGCCAGCTCAGCACGCTTGCAGCGCTGCCCAGTGGGGTCCACGCAGGCCTGTGCAAGCGAGCCCTGACCAGCCTGGAGCGCACCAACCTCCCCGCCTTCAGCCGACCAGGGCCCCTGCCTGCTAACGCATGCTGGCTGCCACCAGCTGTGCAGCTGCACACATGCACACGCGACAGCCCACGGCGACGCGCAGCAGCAGCCGCAGCTCCCGCACCTGCACCAGCGCCAGGTTGGCGTCCTCCACCTCGTTCTTCTCGTCCCAGCGCTGGAACAGCTGCGCCACGTCGGTCGCCGCGCCCGCCAGCGCCGCGTTCAGCGCCCCGGCATGCCCCGCCAGCGCGGCCTCGCAGCGCTGCTGCGCCGCGATGGCGTACTCGCGCTCCTGGATCGCCACCCGAGCCGCCTCCAGCTCCTCCCTCGTCGCCGCCAGCTGGCACCGCACCTGGCCCAGCTGCTTCTCGTACGACGCCGCCTGCTGGCCCATCTCTCGCTCCCACTCCGCCTTGGCCAGCTCGTGCTGCGCGCCGACCGCCTCCGCCTCCGCCTCCATCTCCTCCACCCGCGCCGCCAGCTGGCGCCGCTCGGCGCACTCCTCCTCGTACTGCTGGGCCGGCACATACACGCCTGCAAGCACACACACACACTCGCATAGAGGCAAGCTCTTGGCGGGGTGCGCTGCGATCCCACAGGGCGGGTATCCACTCCCCTGGTCAGGAAACAGCACCCCCAGCTCCTTCCAGCATGCACCCCCACCGCCATGGTCCCATTCTGGTCTGTTGCTGGGCAGCCAGCCGGACACTGGTCAGCTCCCCTGCTCGCAACCCACCCACCGTTCTTCTCCCGCGTGGCGATCAGCATCTGCTTCAGCTTCTCGATCTCAAAGTTCATCTCCTTGAGGTGGGTGGTCTTGGAGATCTTGGCGTTGACCTGCGGGACGCACGCCACGAGGCGCAAGCGCAATGATAGCATAGGCAAAGACCCAGGTCTCTTGCCAGGGCGCGAGGCGCGACAGGCACGCAGGACGGTTAGCGAGCGCAGTACAGTGTGCAATGCACAGGAGTCGGCACAGGAGTCGGAGCAGCAGGAAATAAATGCACCCCACCCCCAGCCCGCTGCGCCATCTGCCCCTCCGCCCCACCTCTGGCTTGTTCTTGATGTTCTTGGCCCTGTGCGCATAGTCCAGCGTGGACAGCGTCTCCTCCTGGCACTGCACCGTGGGCGCGATGGTGGCGATGATGCACGTCTTGGTCTTGCCGCCCAGAGAGTCGCGCAGCAGCCTGCGGGGGCGGGGCAGCAAGTGGTGTGCAGCAGAACGGCAAGGATGTCAAGCGGCAAAGCGGCAGGCACAGCACAGAGCTGCCAGGCAGGCTGGGCATCCGCCTACGGCGGTTTGGTACCAGGGTAGCATGCAAAGCATGTACAGCATGCACAGCACAGCATGCACAGCGCAGCTCAGTGCCTGGTGAGCTTGGAGTCGCGGTACGGCACGTGGCCCTGCCCCTCCACCAGCGCCGTGATCACGCGCCCCAGCGTCAGCAGCGACTTGTTGATGTTGCCCGCCTCCTTGGCCCGCTGCTCCACCGCGCCAGACCTGCGGCGCGCACAGCAGCAGAAGACGGCGGCGGAGGCGGCTCAGCCGCGGTTCACAAGCGCCATGCAGCCCGCACTGTACTCCAGCCTCCATCATTTTGGGCTTTACAGAGAGATGTTCCAAGCAGGCCCGCCACGCAGCCGCCGGCGCCGCCACCAGGCCGAAAGCTCAGAGCTGGGGCGGGCATACAAGCAGCCGCAGCCGCGGCCGCCGCCCCAGGCCCGCAGCACCCCACCGCGTGATGTTCTCCGAGCCTGCCAGGTCCACCAGGTACAGCTTGCCCACGCGGATGACCTCGTCGCCCTCGGGGGTCACTTCCCGCACGCTGACCGTCACGATGAACACTGCACCCGGGGTGGGCGGGCAGGTGGCGGCGGGCAGGGAGAATGTAGCACAGGGAGGGCGAGGGCGAGGGCACGCTGGCGTCGGAACGCTCCACAGCACGGTCACAGGAGCGCATGCCAGCGGCCGGCCACTCCCCCGCCGCCAGCCAGGAGGGCGCCCACCCGAGTGGGAGCGCGACGACTGCTTGTTGAGCAGCGTCTCCGCGGTGCGCCGCTTGGCGGATCCCTGCTCCAGCAGCGCGAAGATCTCGTGGCTGTTCTTCACAATCGACTCCTCAATGCCCGCCAGCACCACCCCGCTGCGGTCCTCCATGATGCGCACCTGCAGGGCGGGAGGCAAGGAGGGAGGCGGGCAGGCAGGCGGCAGCAGTGGGAAGGAGCGCGGCGTCGCCCAGGCAGCAGCCGACACTCCCACACCAACCCCGGCTTCGGCGGCGGCGGCACCGGCAGGCGCAGCAGCGCCAGCCTTCCTCCTCTCTCCACGCCACCATCCTGCTCTATCCACCGCCCGCGTGGCGCCCGGCTGGCGCACCTTGGGCACGTCTGCGCCCACGGTCAGCAGGTCTGTGATCTCCTCGTTGTACAGCTCCAGGTAGGAGCACTTGACGGAGTACTCGGAGGCGATGCCGTCCAGGTAGGCGAAGATCTGGTGGATGGCGCGCGGGATGACGCCCGCCCCGGGGCTCAGCTCGTCGCCGATGTCTCCCGTCATCGTGTGCGTCTTGCCGGTGCCCGTCTGGCCGTCTGCGGGGTGGGAGGCAGGTGACGGGGGGGCATGCGAGGCGGCGGTGGGTGGCATGCGGAGCTGCAGCTGTGCGCAGCTGCCTGCTCCCAGAAGCGGCGCCATTTACATTGCCTGTCACGTCTGCGGCATGCGCGGCAATCCCTGCCAGGCGCATGCCCCCAGTTGCCCCCGCCCTGGGCCAGTGAACAGGATGCGCGTGCAGGCGCTTAGCAAGCAACAGCTCACAGGCGAAGATGGTGCAGTTGAAGCCCTCCAGCACCTCCTCCACGATGGAGGAGATGGCAGAGGCGTACAGCTTCTCCTGGGTGGTGTCGTGCGGGAAGACCTTGTCGAAGTGGTAGGTGCGCGTGGTCTGCTGCTTGCTGCCGGGCACGCTCTGCGTCAGCGTCACCGCCTTCATCGCCTCGTCGCACCGCACCACCTGCGGGGTGCGGGCCGCCACCTCTTCCTTGGAGGGAGGCCTGCAGGAGGTGGGGTGCTGGTGTGAGTATGTCCAGTGGGTATTAGCGAGCGAGAAGCAAGCCAGCAAGGGAACGGACTGGCAGGCTGCGCCACCCAGGCACCCGCCATGCCGCCCCCTGCGGGCGCCGCCCCATGGAACTCGCACCTGCACCGCAGGATCACTTGCACGTTGACCGCATCCTGGGCGGGGCCCATGGCGCTGTTGGCCCGCGACAGCGGCTTGTTGTTGGCCGCCATGGGGCCTGGCTGTTTTTCGCTGCCAGGAGCTGTCAGCGGGGCATGGAGGGCCGAACGGCGCGGGCGGCGGAGGAGGTCAGGGTCTTCAGCGGAGGCTGAGGGCAGGCGTGGAGGAGGAAGGCAACGGAAATGGAAAAATGTACCTTAGGCGTGTACCCTCTGCGCCATTGGGTGAGCCCCCTTTGCCCGGTCCCGCAATCAGCAGCCTTCTAACGCGGTGGGTACAGCCGGGCAGGCTGTAACAAAGACACGGCGCTTGATCAGCGTCGCACCAGTGTTTGACCTCCGCTCCAGCCGGCCCTGCGGGGCTGCGGCCGCCAAGCCGCAATGCCCCGCAGCGAGCAGAGCGGCGAGGACAACCAGTCGGTTTACAGCTTCACCACCCAGGACACAGCCACCAGCGAGGAGGTGGCCAGGCGTCGGGGCCCCAAGAAGTACAGCTTCCACAAGCGCTTCGCCTACCAGAAGCTCAACGGCTGGCGCCCCATCCTCGCTCCGGTCACCGCGGGTGGGTGGCCCCCGCCACCCACCCGCCACCGCCAGCTGTTCACCTGCCGCCTGCTGGTGCTTGCCTGTGGGGCGCGCTGCTGCGTGCTGCTCGATTCGCATACCTCTGTTGCCGCCGCGCTGCGCAGAGGTGTTCTTTGCGGCGGTCGGCGTGCTGCTGTTGGCGCTGGGCATCCCCATCCTGGTGGCCTCGCTGAATGTGGTGGAGTACAAGGTACCATACGCCTTTGAGGGCCCCTTTGCCGGCGCGGACGCGGCGGCGCGCCAGAGCCTGCTGTGGGCGGCTCCCGACGACACCGGCGTGGAGTACAACGTTAGCGTGCTCATAGACAAGCGCATGGAGCCGCCGGTGGGTGCTGGCACGCCGCCGTGTGGGTGCGGGCAGCGCGTGCTTGTGGGTGCTGGCCTGGGCTGGGCTGCGGGCAGGGCGGCGGCCAGGCGGTGGCCAGCCTGCACGCCTGCTGGGTGCTGCAGCATGCCGCGCTGCCCCATCTCCCTGGCATGCACCCACTTCTCCTCCACCTTGTGTGCCCGCCCCCACCCGCGCCCCCCACCCCCCACCCACAGATCTACGTCGCCTTTGAGCTGGGCTCCTTCTTCCAGAACTTCCGCCGCTACGTGCGCTCGTACGACCCCACCCGCATGCACGACGCCCCCCCCACCGCCTCCCCCATCTCCGCCTGCCAGCCCTTCTCCTACCTGGACGGCAACGAGTCGCTGCCCATCAGCCCCTGCGGCCAGATCGCCGCCAACTTCTTCAATGACACCTTCCGCCTGCTGGCGCCAGGTGGCGCTGAGCTGGACCTGGACGACTCAGCCATCGCCTGGCCCTCAGACGCAGACCACCTGTACGGCCCCGTGGCAGCCGAGAACTACAACCCCGCCTCCTCCCCCGCCCTGCGCGGCGGCAACACCTCCGACCTGGTCCTCAACGCCAACCAGCACTGGATGGTGCGAGCCTGGCGCGGTGGGGGGCGGGCCGGGGGCCGCTGCGTGGGTGGGGCGTCGGGCCGGGCAGCAGGCTGGCAGCAGGAGGGCAGCAGGCGTCGGCGACCGGCCTGCCTGCTGTGCCGCGGGCTGGCGGGTGCAGGTGTGGATGCGGCCCCACAGCCAGGTGGCGATACAGAAGCTGTACGGCCAGCTGAACACTGCCATCGAGGTGGGCACCGAGCTGACGCTGGTGGTGAACAACCGGTACAACACGTACGAGTTTGGGGGGCCCAAGACGGGTGAGCCGGAGAGCGGGGAGGGTGTTGGAGGGGGAGCGGTGCGCAGGGATGTGGGGGAAGAAGCTGGCGCATCGGCGGAGGCTTGCGCGTCTGCTCGCCGGCCGCTCCCATGCTGCCTGCCTGCCTGCCTGCCCACCTGCCCTGCCTGCTGCGCCGTGGCCTGCAGTCATCATCACCACCAACAGCTGGGTGGGCGGCCACAACAACTTCCTGGGCGCCTGCTACATCGCCGTGGGCGGCCTGTGCCTGCTGGCCTCGCTCTTCTTTGTGATGGGGTACCACATGGGTGCGTGCGCAGCTGGCAGCCGGCCCTGCCGCCTGGGCCGCTGCTGCACGCCTGGCGGCCGCGCTTGGCGGCGCCCTGAGCGCCGTGTGCGCAGGCTGGCTGCCGCGCCAGGATGCCTAGCGTGCCTTCTGTCCTGCTTCCACCCTTCCGCCGCCGATGCTGAGCACTGCCCTTTGCTGCCCCTCCCTGCCTGCCTGCCTGCAGGCCTGATCTGGAAGAGGCAGTACGGCGACCTGGCCAACCTGTCCTGGCTGCGCCGCCACTCTGCCGAAATCCACGCGCAGCAGCAGTTTGCGGCCGCCTCCAGCAGCAATGGCGCCGCCGACAACGGCGGCAACGGCGTGGCGTCGCAGGCGGTGCAGGTGCGAGGGGCACGGCGCTGCCCGCCTGCATGCCTGCTTGCGCGTCGCGCTGGTGGTGGTTGGGCGAGGCTCGGCGCAGCTCCCGGGGATGGTTGCTGCGCTGGCGAACCCACCACCCCCTGGCTCGCGTGGTGCAGGATGGCAGCGCCGCTGCAGGCGCCACGTCAGCAGTGGCAGCAGACCCCGAGGAGCCGTCAAAAAACTGGTGAACCGCCGCGGCAAGCGTGCAGCAGCGGCGGTAGCTCCGGAGCCGGCGGTGTCGGCGGCGGCGGGCAGCAGCAGCGAGCAGGAGGCGGTGTCCGCCCCTGCCGAGCTGCCGCAGCCCGGCGCCCCGCCACCCGTGTAGGGCCCAGGCGCACAGCCTGGACCCCGCGCCCCAGCAGGCCCCAGGCGGCCCCCGGGCATGCAGCCCGCGCCCTGCACCCGCTCGGCGCGGCTGCTGCCTGGGGCCGTGCTGCTGGTGGGCTCCCCTTGTGCACGCACACACACACTCCTTGACTGCTTCCCTTTCCCCCTGCTCTCTCAACATTTGCCTCTCTCTGCTTCGCATTGTGCGGGGGCGCTTGGTCCAGCTGTCCGTCCATCTCCCCTCACACCCCGTCTTCCCCCTCCTCTCTCGCCCCGCCTTTACGCTGACTGCAACAACGCTGCACTGTGCACGTGTGAGCCCCGCCTGCGGCCCCGGCGCCTGCTGGGCGCCTGGATGCACCGCCCGCCTCCCCCCCTCCAACTCCCAACACCTCCCAGCTGCAGTGCCTCCCGCGGGCCCTCCATTCCAATCGTGCTTCGCAATTGTTTCAGAGAGACCATACGGTAGATGTATGCGTTTTCAGGAGGTAGCGAGCGGTAGGAAAGGAGCTCGCTGGAGCGTGGGGCAGTGAAGGGTAAACTTACTGACTGGGGGTGGAGGGAGGATCAACGTGGAGGGAGGGGATCGACAGATGCAGTACGAAATGGGCTGTACAAGCGTGAGGGGTAGGGTGTGCGAGAGAGCATACTGGGAAGAGGATACAGGGGAAGTGGATTGCGGAAGGGGTCGGAATATGCGCGGGTGGGAGCCTGGCTGGGCGCACCCAATGGGCGCCAGGCAGGGGTGCGTTAAGGAGGGAGACAAGGAGGGCAATAGGCTCGGCCAGCTGCGCCTGGGTGGCACAATGCGCCCCCCTGCCGACTTGTGCAGCGGCGGGGAGGGGGAGGCATGCAAGGGGCAGAGGGCCGGCGGGGCAGGGCCGGCGGGGCAGAGGGCCGGCGAGGCTACTGACTGCCAGGTAGGCGGCCGGGGCGCCGACGCAGGGCAGGACGGGCCCCTGAGTAGCAGCAGGCAGCCACGGGCGGCGCAGTGCAGGGCGCTCTTCTGGAGGCAGCAGGCGCCAGGCTGGCGCCAGCTACGCGTCCACGTGCAGCTGCACCGGCCGCAGGCTGTGGCTGCGCTTGGCCGAGGGGCTCATGCCCCCGCCCGCCTCCTCCTCCTCCTCCATTCCCTCCCCGCGCCCCAGCCCGCGCCGCCGCCGCGCCGCGTGCTTGCGCAGCAGCACGGCCGCCACGACCGCGGCGCAGGCCGCCACTGCCGCCCCCGCCACCGACGCCGCAATCACCAGCACCTTCTCGCTGCTGCCGCCGCCGACGACGTTGCTGGCGCTGCTGCTGGTGGCGTTGGCGGGGACCGAGGGCGGCGCCGCCTCGCCGTTGCCGCTACTCACTGCAACGTCTGTGGTGTTGGAGTGGTGCCCCTCCTCCTGCCCGCCCTCCTCGGCAGGCGCCGGCGACAGCGCGGCGCCATAGTCTGCGGCGGGGGCGGGCACCGCGGGGTCCAGCCCGCTGCCGTCCAGCAAGCCCCAGAAGCTGCCGTTCTGAAGGTCGGGCGTGTCATCCACCAGACGTGGCAGGTCGCTGCGGCGCAGGGTGCAGGGGGCGGGGTGCAGGTGCAGGGGCGGCTGGGGTCGGTGCGAGCGCGGCGGCAAGGCCGAGGGTGGGGCTCCCGCCGCTGCACCTGCCACCGCTGCCTGCCTGCCTGGCCCGGCGGCCCGGCGCTCACAACAGGGCGGCTGGGCGCCGGCCGGGCGCCCGGCCACCACCACCACCAGCGGCTGCTCTGCTGCCGTCGCAGCCACGCTGCTGTACCGCCTGCCCGTACCGTCCGTACCGCACCTATACATCTGCGTGGGCAGCAGCACCCGGTCCACCACGTGCAGCCAGCCGTTGCACGCCTGCAGCGACCGCACCAGCTGCGCGTTGTTGGCTGGCCAGCCGCCCGTGGCAACCACCTGCGGCGGCGCGGGCGGGGCATGCGCGAGGCGTGGGCCGGCAGCGACAGGCGGGAGAGAGAGAGGGAGGGAGGGAGGGAGGGAGGCACCCTCCTCGCCTCCAGGCGGCAAGCATGGAGGCAGGCGAGCAGCAGCAGCCGGCAGCAGCCGCACCACCACGCCGCTCCCACCACCACCACAAACAATATCATCATTATCATGCTTTGTCACTAATATCAATGAACGCCGCTGCCACGCCAGCCCTTCTCACCGGAGAGGTGGCGCCATCGAAGGTCACCGTGTGCTGGTTGTCGCCGCCGCCCAGCGCGCGCCCCAGCGACGTCTGCAGCCCCGTGTTGCCCAGCTGCACCAGCTGGCTCACGTCGTACGCCCTGCAGCGGAGCAGCACAGAGCCAGGACCAGGCGCGGCGGGGCGGGGCGGAGCAGCGGCACGCGTCGGCGGACAACCGGACGTTTGTCACGCCGGCGGGCTGCGGCGGCTGGCAGGGGCCGGCGCGTTGCGGGCGTGGCGCGCAGCCAGGTGCTCGCATGGGCGTGAGCTTGGGCGCGCCCGGGCTGGGGTCAAGCCCCCGCTTCTGCCCTGGCGACAGCCGCAGCCCCTCCCTGCCTCCCTGGCTGTCGACAGCCTGGCCCGACCCTGGCGCCTGCCGCTGCTGCTGCCCGCCCGCCTCTCTCACCCCTGCGGTATCTGGTGGTAGAGCAGCACCGAGTAGAAGCCATCCTCCAGGCTCAGCTGGTCATCCAGGCTATCGATGCCTGCACGCAGCCAGCAGAGGCGGCGGCGGGTGGCTGCCGCAGCAGGCCGAGAGCCTCTCCGCAACCGGCCGGCCGCGGCACGCCCTGCCCCGCCCTCTCCCTGCCACGCGCCCACCGGCCCCCAGCCCCAGCACGCACCTGCCGCCAGCTGCTGCAGCGCGTCGTTGGTGGGGACCAGCACCGTGAAGGGCTTGCCGCCGTCCACTGAAAACAGGTTGTACCCGGAGCGAGCCAGCTGCACCGCCTGGCGCAGCTCGGGCTGCTGCCGCGCTACATCCACTAGTGAGGGCGCGCACCGCTTGCGGGTGGACAGCGCCCCCTGAGCTGCCGTCCCGCTGCTGCTGCTGCTGCTGCTGCTGCTGCTGCCGCCGGTGTCGTTGGCGAGCAGCCGGCGGTGCGGCTGCAGCGCCGGCTGGGCCCAGGTAGCGCCGCCAGCCGCCACCGCCGCTGCGGCCTGCAACAGTGGAAGAGGGCGCGGCGCTTCAGCAGGGTTGCAAGGCGCGGTTCTCCGGTTGGCCTCCAGGAGGGTAGGAGGGGGTGGGCGCCCAAGGGATCCGTGCAGTTGGGATGTGGCATGGCGCCGCGTGGCGAGTCCTGGCCGCACCTGTGCACATCCGATGCCATGGTGCAGCTGTAGTAGCGTGATAAGCACCCACAGCGCTCGCATGGTGGTCGGCCGAGCCTGCTTGGGTGGGTGGTCGGGGGAGGAGCACCCAGGAGGCTGCCCTCAGGACCCCACGTCCCTGAATATGCGAATTGATAACTTCTGCTGGGCGGGAATTGCGGAACTGCGAAGGGCAAAAAATGCCCGCGTGAGGTGGCGCAGCGCCGGAAGACGTGCCGCAAAGGCACGCCCGCGCCTGCCTGCAGCATGCTGCAGCATGCCCAAGCCGCCCCGGCTCGCGTACGGGTTTTGCCGGCCGGAGGGCAAGCCTGTCGATGTTGTGCATCCTTGGAGGACCTGCCGCCTTGCATGGGCGCATGGTGAACAGGATTACAGGGGCGGGTGCTCCAGGGAAGGATGGTTGGTGTCGGCAGGATGACACACACGGCGCGGCCTCACGCCCACAGCTGGAAGGCTTCCAGCGGGACGAGCACCTCGTTGCGCCACCGCGCCGGGTTGGGCCCGCCCTCGTCGCCGCCACCTGCCACCAGCTGCCAGCAGCGCCCCGCCGGCCGCAGCCCGTCCGCCAACAGCGCCCGTCGCAGCGCCTGCTCCACAGCAGCAGCAGCAGCCTGGCTGGCCGCCCCGCTAAAGTCGGCCACAGCGTACACGCCGCCGCTGCCGCCGCCGGCACCGGCCTCGCTGCCGTCGCCGCCATAGGCAGGCGCGCCCTGCGGGAGCCGCGTGTACTTGCGTACTTCATACTGCTTGCGTTTCAGCAGTACTTCGTACTGCCCTGCTGCCGCCCCCTGGGGTCCCTTCCGCAGGTCGCCCACCTGCAGGCCAGACAGCAAGGCGCAGGCCCGGCAGGCGTCAGGTGTCAATCGCAGAAGGCACGGCTGGGCACGGCAGGGCGGCGGGGAGATGCTTCCGCAGTCGTGTGCTGGGCATGCCGCCTCGCTCCCTCCGGCGATATGCCTCACAGGAGGGACAGGCGGGGTGCAGCCAGCTGGCAACAGCCCCCAGTCGCCGCGGTGCCGAAAGACGAGCTGCCCGCGGCACGGGCACACACCGCAGGGCGCAGGGCGCAGGGGAAGCCCGGCGAGCGCACCTGCTGCAGCATGTGGGCAAATGCCTCCAGCGAGAAGTAGCGCTGCTGTTGGATCGCGTCCCAGGTGTCCACGTGGCGGCAGAAGCGGCCTGCGCAGGGGCGCGGCAAGGATGAGGGAAGGGCGAGGAGTGGGGCCGGAGCGCAGCAGATGGGGGTGGAGCGTGGGCCGGACATCCCTCTGGGAGCGCAGGAGGAGGCAGCAGGGCACGCCCCCTCTCTCCACATCCCCACAGAGCCGCAGCAGCCGCGCGCTTGCACCCACCATGCCCAGCCACCCGCGCCGCCCCGCCCCACCCCTCGCTGTTGCACCGCCTCAGCCACCCACCCACCCGTCTGCGGGTTGATGGCCATGATGCTGGTGCCGGTGAAGGTGAGGGTGGAGTCCCACACCCGCCCCAGCGGCGTGCCCCGCGCAAAGCTCAGGCTCATGCTCATGGCCCAGCGGGTGGTGACCTCCAGGGGGCCGCTGCGCCGCACGTCGTGCAGGGTGAAGGTGGGGGTGAAGACGCGGCGCAGGAAGGCGATGTTGAAGAGGTAGCCTGCGGGTGAGGCGGCGCGCGCGTGTGTGTGTGTGTGTGTGTGGTGTGTGGCTGTGGCGACGGGTGCTGGGCGCTGCCGAGCGGGCTGGACGCACGACAAGCCTGAGGCTGGGCTGGCGGGACCGGCCCTGCGCAGTCGCCCCCGCCAGCCCGCCCCAGCCCCAGCCAGCGGCACCACTCCAGATGCCGCTGTCCTGCCCGCAGGCCAGCCAGCCACCCTGGCCCCCGCATGCATGCCCTGCCACCCACCCTCACGGCCCCCCCGCATGCCCCGCCGCCCACCCTGGATGCTGTTCGCACCTTCCGCATGCCTGCCCTGTCACCCACCCGCCCACCCACCCTGTATTCCGTTGTAGTAGGTGATGGGGTCCTCAAACACGACATCTGGGTCGTACTTGCCCGCATCGATGCCCTGGTCGTCAAACAGGTGCTGCAAGTCCTCCCGCAGGAAGGCCATCAGGCCCTGCATTGCAGGCAGGGTTTCAATCAGGTGACGGGCATGGGGAGTGCGAGCAGCAGTGGTGGGAGTGCAGCACTGTGCAGCGCACTGAGCAGCACGCATCCCTGGAGAGCCGGCAGCAAACCGTGTGCCCCGGGAGAGAGCGGCCGGCCGGGGCAGCCGCCCCTCACACCTCCACCAGGCGATCCTGCTCCTCGGGGCTGCTGGCGGCGGGAGGGGCGTCGGCCACCGCCGCCGCCGTGCCGCTAACTGGTGTGGCACGCAGGGCTGCGCACGCGCCGCGCCTGCGCTGCTGCTCCGCGCTCCTGGCGTGGGCGTATGCAACGCGCGGTGCCCACGCTGCCGTGGTAGGTGCGGGCGACGGCGCGGCGGCGGCGGCGGCGCGCCTCGTGCCGCCGCCGGCGGTGCCTGCCCAGCTGCTGCGCTGCAGGCGGCAGATCGTGCTCATGTGGGATGCGCGATCAGGTGAGGCCGGCGGCAAGGAGTGAGGCCAGGCGTGGGAGACTCTCGAGGTTGGTGCAGGAGTTCGCGGCAACTGCAGCCGTTGTTTCGCCAACAATTGTGGTCTGCGAGGTCTACAAATGCCCAGCAGACGTCGCAACGTTCGAAACAATGGCTTTTTTGTGGGGGAGGGCTGCAGTCATTTCGGCAGCAAGAAAGGAGGTAGCAGTGCACGAAACATGCGTGTTTAGTGCGCTGCTTGCTGTTTGAAATACAAGAACACTTCCGCAGCAGCTGGCTGGAGCATTTGCGTTGCCGTTCACGGTCCCCATCTTGCATGCTGAAAAAGAGCCTCTGCGCTCGTCTATAGCCACCCCATAGGAACGAGGGAGCAGATAATATAGCTTCACACATGCAGGCGGCCGGCATGCGCGTGTCCCTGCGGGGCAGCCCTGCCGCCGCCGCCGCTCCCGCTGCCGCCGCCGCCGTACCTTGCGCACTTCCCTCGCGGCTGCACGCACACCAGCTGTTGCCAAGCTTGAGGTTAAGATGGGCCGCACGGCCGCAGCATGCAGCATCGCCAGCATTTATAGCAGTCGCAGCGGGACGCGCCGGCGCAGCGGCGGCGGCGATTGCGGCGGGCGCAGGCGGCGGCGGCGGCTACCAGCGGCCGCTGTCAAACCAGGAGCGCAAGGCGCAGCGCGCAGCGGCGCAGCGCATGGGCAGGGGCCTGTGCACCGTCAACCTGGGTCAGAAGGGGCTGACCCCCACCTTCCTGGACGGCTTCCGGACCGCCCTCACCGCCAACGGACTGGTCAAGGTGCGGGGGCGGGAGCCGGAGCCGCCCGAGGCGGGCTGGTGGGCGCAGCAAGCATGCCGGCGCGTGGCGCGTGGCGCGCGTGTGTGTGTGTCCATCATGTGCATCATGCGCAGCGGGGCGGCTTGTTTGGGCTCTTTGGGATGGCGGGCCACGGTGCAGGCAGCCCTCGCCGGCCTAGCATACATAGCCTGCCGTGCTGCCAACCTGTTCTGTGCTTGCCGGCTGCCTGCACCCACAGGTCAAGGTGGGCTCATGTGACGACAGCCCTGACGAGGTGGCAGAGGTGCTGGCTGCGGCGGGCGACTGCGTGCTGGTGCAGAAGATCGGCTTCACCCTCACCTTCTACCGAGACAAGGGCCTGCCGCCGCCGCCTCCCCTCAAGCCGGCGGCCGCCGCCAAGCCGCGCGCGGCCAAGGCTGGCGCGGCCAAACCCGCAGCCTCGGCAGCGCCGCCTGCGACAGCTGGCCCGGAGGGAGAGGAGGCAGGGGCCGAGGAGGCGGGTCGGGGCGGCGAGCGTGCTGAGGTGGCGCCAGTGGATGCTGACGAGGTGGATGCTGAGCTGGCGGTGTACCTGCTGGAGAACGAGGATGCCTTCAGCGACTCGGACAGCGAGGGGGAGGAGGAGGAGGAGGAGGTTGACTATGGGCGGCCCAACAGCAGCCGCAGGCAGGCGGCGGCGGCCAGGGCGGCCCGGGAGAAGCGGCCGCCGCCGCCGCCCGAGTTCACCGTCATCGGGTGAAGGCGCTGCGGTGGCCCTCGCCTGCCGCTGCCCCTCCTGTGGCTGCTGGCCTCCCATGCACCCCTCGGCAACATCTCTCTGCCCGTGCGGCAACCGGACCAGCTCCTGGCGATCTGCCTGGCGATCTGCTGGTGCGGTTTTCTTACAGGGCCGCTCTATGTGGGCCCGGCAAATCAATCATGTATGTATATGGTATCGAATCGTGGGGAAAAGAACATGGAAGGAAGTGGGGTGAGCATTCCACTCAGTGCGGTGCCGCGGTGGTTTAGGCACGGAGGAGGGACGGGGCCGTCTGGGTGCATTTGTGCTGCCAGGCGCAGAGGCCAGCGAGCCTCACAAGGAAGTACACGAAACGCACAAAGGGAGGGGGAGGAAGAGGCACGCGGCAGTCGTGTTGGGGTGGGCCAGCCGCCCACGCGCCGGGCGAGGCGCAGGAGGCGGCGGCCGCGGCAAAGCTGTGTCTTTGGGGGAAAAACATGGCACGCACACAACTGGCGGGGAAAAAAGGAGCAGTATCGTGCTGGCGAGGGCCTTGGCCTGCGCAGGTAGTGTGGCAGTGTGGGATGAGATGGGGCGCAGCAGCCGCAAGGTGCAGCCAGGCGTGAGGGTTGGTGGGGGGTCGGTGCTAGGGAGATGTTGACTGACTCAAGGGGCATGCCAGAGCTTGGGCTCTTAAGCTTGGTGCAGCCAGGAAGGGCAAACAGGAAGGGATGTGGAGGTGTTACGTTCAGGGGCGGGAGTGCATTGCCGCAACGTACGTTGCAAAGGCGGGTGTGGCGCCACGGCAGGCCCCGCTTGTGTGGGGCCTGCGGCAAAAAAAACAAAGCGTGCAAAAGAGATGCGGTGGCCATGTGGCTTTCACAGCGGACGGCCGCTGCGGGGGTCTGCGGGCGCGGCCGTCGGGGAAAAGCAGGTGATGGGCAGATGGTGGTAGGAATTGTGGCGCCGGCGGTGAAGGGCTGGTGGCAGGCGCAATGAAAGGGGTGATGCGGGGTGGGGAGCATCCTTCTTCTAGTTCGAGCAAAGGGTAGAGGGGCATAGGGAAGCGATGAAAGGGACAATTCCAAGAGAGAGAAAGGGAGCAAGCATGGAGCAACGGGCGCCAGGCGGGCACCACATCAACACATTGAAGAGCTCGCGCGGGCTGCGGGGGCCCAGCGCAGCACAGGGCGCTCGCCTCCGGGCCGGGTGGCGCACTGTGCTGTGCAAACACCAACCACATACGTGCCGTTGCACACAACGGGCGGAGCGGAGGCGGCGGCGCATGGGGGCGTTTTAGTTGGCAAGGAGGCGCGAAGAGATGAGTGCGGTTGGTGGGTAGGGTCGGTGAGCCATCAGATGGAGGTGGGGAGAGAGAGGGGAAGGGTTGGAGTCGAGTCGAATCAAACAGCCGCACGTGCGTGGGGAGGCGGCAGCGCCGGATCAGGCGCGCCCGCCTCCCCACCACGGAC